CTCCTCCTCCTCCTCCTCCTCCTCCTCCTCTGGACCACCTGTGCCCCCTTCTCTCCCCTGCATCATCCTCTGCTAGGCACGGCCAGATAACGGCCTCCCTCCCCTCCGAGGCCTCCTTGCGCCTTGCAAGACTCTCCGGTTTGTCAAGGGCAGCCCCCGTGGGCATGAAAGTCTGGGGGGGGGCGCCCAGAGCCCCTGGCTTTTGGGCGGCTCTTCCTTGCAACTTCTGGGTCCCATGGAAGTGGAGGAAAAGGAGAAGGAGAGGCCGCCGCCTCACTTCTTCCTGCCCGAGGTACTGGCCCGGCGGTCGGTGGCTTCCCTCTTGGGGTTGCCTTCATCGGTGGAAGAGGTGGTGAGCAGGGCCTGGCTCCAGCGGGCGATCTCGGCGTGCTCCGCAATGGAGGTGGTCAGGGCCGTCAGCCAGGTCTTCATCTCCTCCTGGAGGGAGGGGGGAAAGGCGGGGAGGAGACATCACAGCCACCCCAGCACCCAGAGGCGGCTCCCTGCCCTCCCCATCATCCACTACCACCGCGAGAAGGAGCAGAGAGGTCCTTACCTCGTCCTTGGCTTGCAGGAGAAACTCTCCCCCGTCATGGGTCCTGCAAGAGACACCCATCCATCCATCCATCAGCTTCTCTCGTCAGGCCTTGGCGTTCCCCTGCCAGCGCTGCCAGCTGCCAAGGCATCCCAGGGAGGGAGGGGCTCTGCTCCCCTGGATCTCAAAGCGGGGAGGCGCACCTCAGGGCCCGTGGCCCCGGAGAAGGAGAACGCTGATCTTTTGGTCCACAAAGTTGCTTTCAAACCCGGCCGCTTCAGCCCAAAGGCCTCTGGTGCGATATCAGCACATCAGAGAGCCAGTAGGGCAGGTAAGGAACCCAGGTGAGAGCGGGCAAATGCCTGCAAGCGAACGCTTGGTTCCCTTTGGCGCAAGGCCGGCGTGGAGCAGCAGCACTGAAGCTGGTGAGCCTTCTTGGCCGCAGAGGAGCAGGGCAGGGCTTGACCACAGAAGGGCCTGCACCCAATAAATGCACGGTCCCTCGCATGCTTATCCCCCTGCCTCATAGAAAGCCCCTTCCCATCATCCTCAGGAAATCCCACCCCCCCTCCTCTTGGCAGGAGATTTAACACGTATCTCCCCAGCCCACCCGCCCACGGCACTCACTTGATCTTGAGCACGTTCTTCTTCTTCTTGTAGGCGTTGGCCACCTCGCTGGTGGCGCTGTGCAGGCTCACGAGGGGCTCGTTGGCGTGCGTGCTGCCAGATTCCCGGCCCTTGGTGTCCTTGTAGAAGCCTAGCTCCCCTTTGCTGAGGACACAGTAGAGGTTGATCCAGGACCTGGCGGGGCAGGAGGAGGAAAAACGCAGACACTTTGATTGGCTACCAGTTGCAAGAGGGGCCTCGGTAGCGGCCCCCTCCATTTCGACTCTGTCCGATGTCGGGAGCAGGATCAAGCCACGGAATAGGGAACCGGGTTGGATTCTGCCTTTGCCTCTTATTCTTGCTGCAAGAAGGCTTCTCTGTCCAGGGGGGTGGGGGGTCGGCCGCCCAGGGACCTCGTGGCTCACCTGTTCGAGGCCTTCTTGTTCGGCCCCTCCAGCTCAAGTTTGCGGAGGAGGTAGCCCTCCTGCTGGACGGTGTGCGTGGGGGGCGGCGGGTCGGGTTGGATCTTTGCCTCTTATTCTTGCTGCAAGAAGGCTTCTCTGTCCAGGGGGGTGGGGGGTCGGCCGCCCAGGGACCTCGTGGCTCACCTGTTCGAGGCCTTCTTGTTCGGCCCCTCCCCTCCAAGTTTGCGGAGGAGGTAGCCCTCCTGCTGGACGGTGTGCGTGGGGGGCGGCGGGGGCGGCGCGCTGCTCTGGGCAGGGGCGGAGCGTGAGCGGCGAGCCTCCCCTGGCGGGGCGTT